TAAGAAAGGATTTTAAATGCAGGAATGCAGGAGGTGGTCAGAGGAACTAATTCTAAACAATTTCTTTTTGTTGTTTTTTTGTTCGCTTTTCTTTTTTAGTTGGGTTCTTTTAAAGTAATGTTTTGGTTCTTTTAAAGTAATAATTACATCAATAGAAATGCTAAATATTATAATTTCATATTTTCATATAATTCATCTGAAATGTAATCAATTTATCAAAAATACGTATCTGCTTGCCAGCAGTAGATAGAGCAATGTTTGTAAGTAAGTAATTGGAGAATTATATGGTTGACATTTTTTACAAATACCAGGATTAACAACTTTCTACTAATGAAGTTTCATGTTAGTATTTAAAAAGAATACTGAAACTGGGAGACATAAGAGGATTTGGTGTTGAGGTCAAAACAAGCCATCCCAGATCCCACCTGGACTCCACAAACCACTACCTACTTTTATTTTTCTTGCCTGTGTATAACAAGCTGTAAATATTTGTTGTTTCCCCATATAAGGGATTGGATATATCCTTTTTTTTGAGAGGAATTATAATTTTTTCCATTAAATCCACAATTTATTTCTATATTGTAATCATTTAGAGAGTAAGAATAGATGAATAGAAAAAGAAAAGCGAGAAGAAATGAAATTAGTGCAGAAAGATATAGGAGAGATTAAAAGAAATATGAAAAGACAAATGGAAAGACAAAAAGAGGTACCCAAATATCCTATCCCACCCCCTTCATAAAAGTAGGTAATAGTAGAACAATGAGAAAACAAAGCTACCTTATGTAAACTTTCCATTGGTGACCTTTTTATAGAGCCTTTAAGAGTTACGTTATTTTTCTATAAAATATGAGCAGAAATAGGGATAGCTGATGTTCACCTTAAAGGTTGATAGTTCAAACCAAACTAGAGTTTCTGCATTAGAAATCCCTTCCATCCTAAGACTTTTATTTCATCTATTTATTTCCTCATGTTTTTTAAAATTTTGACAATTTTTTTTTGACTCTGTCTTGAAATCTTAGGACGTTTACACATTTAAGGGTTCCTTATATCTCTAGTCAATAAAGATATTATTTAGATATTACAGTGAATGATTTTTAACTTGGTATACTCGTTATTCATGTTTGTACTTTTTCCATGTAGATCGTAAGTCTGTGACCCAGAATGAACAGGAAAACAAATCAAGTTCATTGCCCTCTACATCTTATGAAGACTCCTTTCCAGAAGACTGTACAGTTCTGTATGTATATAAGTTAAATTTGTTTACATTGTTAATGCTTTTGTTCCAGGAAATAACTTGACAGAAGAGTAGGTAGAATATGTCAAAAAAAAAAAAAATTCTTTCCCATCAAAAGCTTTAAAGGTTGTAATTTTAGTATGATATGTAGAATAAAGTTTTATGAGTCCTTTAATAGGTTATTTTTATTTGTCAATATCCATAGGTAATCAAGTCTTTTAATTAAAATTTAGCTTAAGATGTCTTTGTGTATATTATTAATATACTGAAGTCTACCAAGTTGGGTTTTTTTTAACTAGAAAATTATTTTTCCCTGATTATTAAAAAGTGGAGTATTAAAAAGGGTCAAAGTATTGCTTTCAGTATCAGTTCCGTTTTTTAAATGCAAAGCAGCTTGAATTAGTATCAGAAAGTTTATGAGAATAGGCTAAATTTTTCTGATGTTTTCTTTCTTCTTTTACCACTAATTTCAGTAACGATTCCTTAGCATAAAGTAGAATTGTATAAGAGGAAATCTGGTACTCTGACACTGAGTCTTTATTTTTAGCAGGTAATGCCTGTACTAAAACTTTAAAGTACTAGGTAAAGTTTCAGAAAACGTTTTCTACTAGGGCAAGTAACAGAATTTCCAAAAACAAACAAGTGTCTTTAGAAAGAAAGTTATTAAGTTGATTGTCCTTTCAGCTACATAATAAAGTGACCAAAAAAATTGACAACATAGAATCCTTTTTTTTTTTCTTTTCGATGTTTATGAGAGCTGTAGATTGGCACTATTATATGTGATTTGCGTTTATAAGTATCAGAGATGCCATTGTGGTTTGAGTCTAAAAGACTCATAAAATTTATTTTTGAATGCTCAGAAAAAGCTAAGTTCATAGTTTTAACTCTAACTGGCCACTTCAGTAGCTAAATCCTGACCTTCTGATATGCGATATAATACACGTACAGCATAACATTTCATTACCTTTTAAAAAACAAATTCAGTTACTCTAAATCAGTAAAATATAAGATTCTTTTTCATATAAATTACCACCAAACTATATTTAGATAATTTTAAGCCTACATGCAGGACCTAGTTTATTCTTGTTAAGTGCCTCTCTTTTTGGTTTTAAGTTCATTATCCTAGCTTATCAGAGTCCTTTTGAATTTTGAATCTCTTATCTGTTATATTTTCTATCTAGCTTTTCATCTTGCACAAATATATTAAATAAGCTTTCTAGCCTTTATTATAGCTCACTACTAGAGACCTCTTTTCAGTACTGTTCAGAAAGAATTGTTCAACCAATTATGAATTTACTTACCTCTATCATTGTCTCACCTACATTTCTGTCTTTCAAGGATATTATGAGAAATCAAGATTCACTGTTATAGCATTCTATATCATTACCAAACTTTAGCAAAGCTTATCAAAAAAGATAATTAGGTTAATTTGAACTTTTTCTTACCTAGTTAGCCCATGATGGCTTTTCAAATCATAAGGATTTCAAAGTCAAATGCTTAATTCTCTTTTCTAGAATTGTTTAGGGATCAGAATTAGCTACCCGTTCTGTACTTTCTGGAATGTTTACTTTTTTAAAAAATCAGGGCAGCATTTTTCCATTTTTCATTCATATTTGATATTTTTTTCAAGACCTTGAGATTTAATTTGTTGGGGCCTGGAATCTTAAATTTGTTTAGATAAACTAGCATTCTAGGCCAGCCCTTTTTAACAATCACAAACTTCAGTTTCTTCTCTTCAGTTTTGTCTGGTCTTCCCAACTTGAGGGTTGTGCGTATAGATAGAAAAGACAAAGGCAGAGGGTTTCTGAGCTCCTCCTCTCTCATCAGTTAATCTTACACGGTCTTTCCCCTAACAGATTGTCGTCGTCTTCAAACAGAGCTTTAAAATTTTTGTTGTTCTTTTATTAGCATTATTGGAAACCTTAGTTCTTAGTGGCTTGAGCCTTTGTGATACTTTTTTTATAGGTTTACACCAATATTTTATATCCATAATTGGTCTCCTTTTTTTATTTTGTACATATTCTTTTAAAAATCTGAGCTTCCCAGAGAAATTAAATTGGCTTCTCTGCTTTCCCATGTCATCAAGATTATTTGTAATTGAATAATCAGAGCTTGATTTCCTTAGAACCTACAATTCTTGTACTGTATTCCCACTCAGAGACCTGGTCCACGAGATCATACCTAACTTTGAGTTGAAATTTCAGAGATCTTCTCATATGAAGGGACATGTCTAATTAGGCTCAGGATTTTTCTTCCATAGCCACTATGAATTCCAAAGCCACATTTCATTCTTGACCAGAATTATGTTTAAATGATTTTTTTAATATTTCCTCTGAAGATCATGAGTTTATTATTTGTTTTGCTTACAAAGTAGCTAAACCCCTAGCAGGTCAGTAGTCACATAGACTGGCAAACTAAGTGTGAATGATTTAAGTCACAGGTTCAAACTCCAGCTGAGTTGCTCAGTGTCATACAATTTGCCAATGGCAAACCAGAGTGAAGATCTTAGGTCTGACAGGAAACTGGCTTTATATATTTTATTCTTGAGTTTAGTTTAATTTTACTGCATATAATAAGTGAGCTATGACATAGATAAATGTAAAAACAAATTTATTCCAATGGTAATTCTTTTACAAAGATGCCTCCTTTTGTGATGTTAGGAACCCTGGCTTAATTCTTTTTCTTGGTAAAGTACTTTGATTTGTCAGGAACACCTATCTATTCAAGCCAGCTTAAGTGGTGGAATTTATTAGAAATAAACCAGGTGTGCAGCTCTGGCTAACATATATGGTGAAAGTGGACTTGCCCCCCTGCTAAAAGACAAGTGTGAATTTAAGCCATTTGGCTTTTCATATGACATGCACACTAACACCCAAAAGGGATTACTTTTTACATACACACACCCCTAACCTACACACACACATAAATAAAGTAGGTGTTCAAGAACAGAAAATGTAGGGCTGGCTGAGTGGCTCAGTTGGTTAAGAGCTTGCTCAAGAGTTTGAGATCTGAGCAACAGCAGTTTGATGCCTGGCCCGAGCTGAGCTGCCGCTGAGCTGCCAACAGGTGGCAGAGGTCAAGGTACACATTGTTTAGATCTACTTCTTTCTGTATGTTATCAGTTGGTTCTTCTGTTCTCACATAGTCTAACACAGGCTGCCCCAGCTGAACACTACATGATCTTCTCGTTTGAGTGTTACCTCATGATATTCTTTATATATCTTAACATAGATTTTTGAGAGCGACTATAAGTAGCCCAGTATGAATACATGATCAGACAGATTTGTGTACACTGAAATTAAAATGGCCACCTTTCAGAAGATGACCAAAGGTGTGTCTCTTGTAGCCTTTAAGATGAATATAGTTTACATTCATTTTTCAAAATATTCCCTTTCAGAGGTCATAAAGGGTAAAATGACTATATACCTCAGACTTGCCAAAAGCTGAAAAATCAGTTGACAGTCTCTGAAGCCATGCTCTGCCTTGTAGTTCAAAGAATCTGATGACAAAACAGTTCTCAGGCCACATATAAACTGAGAAGCTCCTACCCAGATGCTGGACACAGGTGCAAACAATACCGGATCACCATACTTATCTATTTTGTTTACCTCCAGCATTTTTGTATTTTTGGAGAGTCAGTAACTAGGTTTACAACACTATGCATAATACTGGTTTTCTTTATATTTGTTTTTTCCAGTAATGTATCTTCATCTGTATAAGAAAGTAACCTTCGTCCCCATAAAATGGGATGGAAATTAGGTTACTTTACTCCTGAGACTTTTGTAGTAAGGTGGTTTTCTTTCATTTATTTTATGAAATGAGGCACAGATAAGAAAAGAATAATTTCTGAGGCCCATATCAGTGTTTCATTTCCATGTGTTACTGTTTATTTTCTAACTCTTCTTAAATATAAAAACATACTTCTCTCTTAATTTTTATTAAATTAGCCACCAGAAGACCACTTTTAAGCCAGGTTGGCTAACTTTCCTGAAATCCAAGATTCCAAATTACAGATTTTACCAAATTTCTTACAAATTTTAGTCGAAATTGTTCTAGTTGTATACAGAGGGTGCCAAAAAAATGTGTACACATTTTAAGAAAGGAAACAACAATTAAAATTATACCGTGACCACTTTGAGCACCTCTTATAATTGCAGGAGTCAAACATGACTTGTATTCATCTTTTGTTTTTGGTCTATATTGAGTTTTACAATTTCAATAGTTTTTTTTTTTCTTTCTTAAAATGTGTATACATTTTTTTGGTGTTCTAACTACCGTATTTTGACATGTATAATGTACTCCCCTATATAATGCGCACCCACGTTTTTGGCCCAAACTTTCAGGGAAAATAATCTTTAATTTTAATTTTTTTTAACAAAAGATTTTATTGGAGAATTGGGGGAGGAGAACAGCGCTGGGGAATCAGGGAAGGGTAGCAGACAAGTTGCTGTCCCCTTGCTTCCCAGTCCAGCCATGGAGGACATCACTTTACTGGCCTATGCTGGCATTGTGATCATTGCTCTCTTCCCGGCTGAGGCAGTCGATTGCTGACCATTGGACAGCTGCTTACGGCGGCTCAAGGCAGCTGCTGGCCGCCCGCCACTCACGGTAGCTTGCGGCAGCCCACCATAGCCCCACCGCAGCCCACCACAGCCCAGCTTCAGGTCAAGCTGTCATTCACTATCCTAGCTGTAGAGGGCGCAGCGCCGCTGGACCACATGGGATCCAAACCAGTGGCCCTGCTGCTCAGAGC